AAAATGTATATAATAGTTTTACTATTATATCAACACACCATCTTCATATGACTAAATGTTAATCTAACTATAAAATATTTGAAACCAACAAATTAAGATATTTTAGCCCACAGTACCAACCAACTGTTTTTGCACTTTATCCTACTAGTGTGAATAAATTAAATACATATATATTTTATATGAATATTTAAAGAATATATATACTATATGATCTTACCAATTTTTATTGTGATAATTTTTTTTTTGGTAGCCAACCACAGTATTCGTCTGACTAATTCATTAGTCGACCCAAATTACACATCTGACAGTGATGAGTAAGTCTCCCAACAACTCGAACTTACCACTTGAGCCTTGTTGGTTGTGATATTTGAAACTATGATGGAGACTAAAGAAGCCAAAAAGACAAAGGAAATATGGGGAGGTCGAATCAATTCATGCCAGGTAAGATAGTTATGGTGGGGTGGTGAGTGTATTTGGGGATGATAAATTAATTCCCTGTTTGGACAAAAGCCCCTCTCCTATTCAACTCTATCCTATCCATGCCTCATTATCAGCGGCCCATACAAGCCCCCATCCTGGTGGAACAAATACATTATTGGTTTATTATTTTTATTTGTTATTAATTTTTTTTTTTTCTCTTCTTATTTTATGATGTGGATGCTCCATGATTATCCTCTACTTGCATTTATGGTACCAATTTCACTCATCTATTGGAAATTGCAATTGTTTTTAAGAATAAATTTGCCTCATTTTCCAATGAGATTAAGATCTAAAATGTTTCTAAAATTGTTTTTATTAGACAAATAAAATTAAAGTTAATAAAGTTATTGAGAAAATTGCAATTTTAGTCCAGTAACTTAGGCTGTTTCTCATTTTAGTTCACTAACTTAGGCCGATCTAAATTTAGTCCAAAAACTCCCAAAAGTTAGTTAAATCAGTCTAATTTTGATCCCTGTCGCCGAAATTGATTGGCCAATTTCAGTCCAATTTTAGTCTAATTGGACTGATTTAACTAACTTTTGTGAGTTTTTGGACCAAATTTGAATCGGCCTAAGTTAGTGGACTAAAATAGGAAACAACCTAAGTTACTGGACTAAAATTACAATTTTTTCTTAAGTTATTTGTATTGTTTAATGATAATATATGGTATATATTTATTATATTATGTATTATTGAGTCCTAATCATTTATGGCAAAGCTTACATAATATATATATATATATATATTTACTTACCATATATGTCACTTGCATTGTTAATTGTATATCGTAATTAGTTTTCTGTCTCTTGCAGGACAAGAAATATGCGGCAACGACTATAAAAGGACGAGCTGCCTATACATAAAGGATCCTGAACGTTTCGGAGAATATCAGAAGGATTTGAAATGATTCACACCAAGATATTTTATATTTGGAAGATTCGTTGTTTAAGCAAAGTCACGTTCTTGTACAATTTTGGAAGCGAGATTATGAATATATCCAAATCACATATACGAATTCTACTTGAAAGAAACTTACTCTAAGGATGTTGAAGATCATTTAATGTGTCCAAAAGAAGTTCTCTTAGCTGCACATGAGAGTAGTTAATAATAATATGATTAGGATTCTCACATATATATATATATATTGAAGTTTTATTTATATGGATTGACTATTTCTCTTCCAAGGTTTTGGATTCACGTCGATGAGATCCCACATAATTTCGAAAAGCTATACAATATCTCTAAGATCTTCTTGTTTCTTTCTTTAAATAAG